ACAGATCTACAATGGTGTTGTTGTGCGGGGTGTTGATGTCATAGCCGAAGAGGACTGTGATTTTCAAAAAGCTTAAACTTGAGTCAGAGTCAGAACATTCAACGTCAACTACTGTAACTATTAAGAGCTAGCAGCTAGTGATTGAACTCAGTATACACACTCCGCTGTAGGATGTTGGTGTCTATGAATATGTGGACGAGCAGCTGCACAAGGTGAACCGTACAACCCGATTGAACAATCCTGATGTTTCCCTTGGAGCAGAGCAGATCAACACAATGCATCAGTCCGCTCTGAAGAAGATGAATCAGTCTGCCTTTGCTGTTGATTCAACCCAAGCCCTTCCAATGCGTTTTCGAATTGCCAGTTCTTCCGACGGATGTGGCTTGGACACTACTCCAGATCATGTGGGAGGAAAGCCCGATGATCTTGAAGGCGGTGAAGGTGAAGGTGATGAGAACGATGATGAGAACGATGAGAACTTGGACCCGCAACAGTATCTTGGACTTCTTGGTAGGCTGGCCAAGGAAAAGAAGCGAGCTGCTCCTGGTGGGCCTACACTGAGTGCCAACCAGCCCATCAAGAAGCCAAAAGGTCAAACTCCGGCTTCAGGTCCAGGTGGAGTTACGTCCAATACAAAAACGAATAAAAGAAGAAAGATCGGAGAGAACACCGCTCCGACACCGAAACCGCCCATGTTTGAGGATGAGACCGGCATTGAAGGCACTTCTGAGGATCACACATTGGTAGAGCCCTACAAAAAACAACTGGCTGAAGTGATGAAGCTTGACGCTGACAAATCTGATGATGCTGCGTTAGCGGTTTGGATCAAAGAGAGGACCAAGAAGGTCAATGACCTTAAAGCTGGTGTCCTTGGCAAGAAGAAGTCTTTGCGCAGAAGGACCTCTGATACAACTTTCTTGTTTGGGGAGCTTGACAACATCATGGCGGAACTTACCGGACTTCAGACTTTGTTGAAGAAGCTTGGAACTGGTCAATCCGAGGGCAGCTCAATCTATGAGAGCATCACCGGCAACGATCTTTTCACTGATGTTTCCAAACCAATCTGGGAACGGGCCTTGCGCGCTGCAGCGTTTGAGGACCATATTGAACGAGTTAGTTATATTATATAACGAGTTTACTAATATCATGTTATATAACGAGTTCACTAATAATAGATAAATTCATGGTATTTGATTCGCCGACAGGATCTAAAGACAGCAAGCTTCGATCATTTCTTCAGCTCCATCAATCAGGCTTGCCTGAAGCACCTTGGTGATGAGGATGGTCAATGCTACTTCGGCCTCCTTGCCAGCCAGCTAGCGCAACGAATGCTGAAAGGACCAGTTAAGACTCAAATGAAGGAACCAGTTCCTGCAAGAGATGAAGAAGGCCATGGCTGATGACGACAATATATTCGCTGCTGATGTGGATCATAGCAGGGTGTTGCAGGCTGTGATTACCATTATGGACGTTGCCTCCATCCCCTCCTCTGTTCAGGCAAGCGGTGAGTTTTTTGGGCAAGTCTGACCATTGGTTGGCACAGGCACTCAAGCTTGACAAGGGGAAGAAAGCTGTGCAATTGGCTCTAGAGAATGCTACAAACCGCGAACAGCAGAACGGCATCTTGGAAAAGATCTCCAAAGCGCAATCTGATTTGGAAGAGCAAGCCGTCACAGAGGTAGATCAGCTGACAATGACCCTGGACAATACCTATGGCAAAATGTTTCTTGGCTGCCATTGAAGTCAATCCAATTTCACGAGTTTGTTTGTTGGGCCCCTGTCCAACGAAACCAACAATATCTGAGGCTCGCTGATGCACTCAAGGTTGCCAAAGATCCAGACACCAAGAATTTGAAGGGCTCTGACAAAGAACATCTGAAGACTCTTCTGGCTACATTGGATGATTCCATTTGGGTGGCAATCCATGCGAGCATGTCAGATGACCTTGTGTCATTCCTGGGCAAGATGACAGATTCCATGGCTGAGAGCAGAACGATCAAATCAACGCCTTTGAATCATGAATCTTGTTTCCCATGTTTGCCAGAGACAGGTCATAGCTGAACCAAGATCCACTCCATGGCCAAGACTGCGTTCGAGGAGTTGTCGACCATTGTGCCCCGAATCGATGCATCCATCTCGAAGACATCAGGAGTCCAAGATGTGCAGAAATGCTTGGAAGATTTTGAGCGATGGTGCACGACGACCAAAGAGTTCTGCGAGGGAGCCTTTGCAGAGTGTGACGGCTTCTTGGAAGATCTCTCTGAATGTTTGGCAAATGCTGGCAAAGCTGCCAATGGTCTACTTGGCAGTCAAGTCAGTTCAGAGACAGTGTCATGTGTGTGGGCCCTTGAAAAGCTGTTCACCTCAGAGGAGAAGCGTCTCGTGGATTCCGATGCTTTGGCAGAGTTCAAGAACAACATGGACAAGTCCTATCGCTTGTCAAGTGTCATGGGTGATGATGGCACTTTTGTTCGCAGAGGCTTGAACATTGTGGACCTCATCGTCACGGGCAACCAGTGCTTCTGCAATCCACGTTTGTGTGGTGCTAGTGGTGACGAAGTAGTCTTGGATCCTGCTGAGGTGACAGCAATTGGGAAGATCAATCTTCAGAATGGAGGCGATGATGCTGACGTCAAAGCCATTCTGATCAAATTCTTTGAGGTATTGCCCAAGATGCAAGAGGTGGATTCCAAGGAGCTGCTCGACCAAGCCATTGCTTTTTGGACATGGCTGGTTGATCAATCCAAACAGTTCAACATGATCATGCAGGCTGGCATCACACATGACCTCAAGCTCATCAACATTCCAGAGCTTGCTGTCCCTGATGAGCTCAAATTGCCTGCTGATTTGAACGAGCTGGTGAAACTGGCAGGGAAGGTGGGAGCGACATTCAACAACAAGTTGAACAAGGCAGTGGTTGATACCACTGTGGCATTGGAAAAATGCATGGATAACATCAAGGATACTTCGAAGAGCCTGCAAGTCACAACCGACTTCTTGTGTGCTGGATTTTGCAGTGACTTCAAGGCCCTTGAGTCAATGTGGAGAGCATGTCTATCATGGATGTGGGCCTCTTAGTATGGTTCATATCGAATCATATCAAATCATATCAATGGAATATAGTATTCATAAATCGAAATCAGAATGTATTTCAGACTCTGAATGTATTTCGGCACACCTACCTGCAACAAACTGACTGAGGACGACAGGGAACTTGCTGAGTTGCATGGTTTCCAAATCCATTCAGAAGTCGTTGAAGGGTAAAACAGCGGCAGCAAACAAAGTCATTTCTGCGGTGAAGGAGTCTATGAGCATTGCAAAGGAGTACATGCTGGACATTCCTCCTAATGTGCAGGATATCGCAACAAAGCTGTTGGCTGCGAAGTGATACTTTCAACATCTGGCGAGTGTGATCTTGGATGAGGAATTCAACAACATACAGTTGAATTTGTTTAGTGCTTTGAATCACGACATCGGTACACAGATGTCAATTCGCCCTTTTGTATTGTGAATCCAAACTGGCTACAGTCATAGGCCATAGGGTCGTTTTTGCGCAGCTTGGCTGAGCATTTGGGGTGGACTGGAGCTGCTGTGGACTGTGGCTTCCATGTCCATGTAGCTTGTTTGCGCAATTCCAAAGTGGCGGTATGCATAGTACAGACTCCCAATGGGAAAAGACCACTCCGAACTCTAGACTAGACTTAAGCAGCGTGGAAAGGAGGTGACATGCGACTCGACTGTTTGAGTATGGCACCGAAAAAAAGGGGCAGTCAAGACAATAGCAAAACCAAAGCCTAAGAGATGCCCCAAGGCCAAAGCCATTTTTCCGCCGACACCAAAGGCAAAAGCTCGTGTCGCGGACGCGGATGAAGTTTCTGAGGATTCCAGTAGTGTCACTCCTGTCCCAGTCCCAACCCGAGGGCGTGGTCGTGGTGTTGGCCGCAGCCGCGGCCGTGGAGCAAAGGATGCTGACTCACCCTTGCCAAAGGAAGTCAATCCTTCTGGCGTCCAGTTCTGGGCAAAATTTACCCAAAAGGTGAAGACAGAGAGTATGGAAGGCTGGGAGTTGCATTGTTTGGGTGGGGGTGGGGGTGGTTCTGGACATACATCGCAACTTGTAGATGATAAGGTATTATGGTCTGATATGTTTCAGACTGCAATATTAGTTTCATCATTACATTTAGTCTAATTTATAGGATTTAGATTGAGACTGGTATTATTCCATTTGGCAGGCTGTGGGCAAACCACGACACTTCCAGAACAATGTGAAGAAAGCTCGAGTGCTTTGGCCTCTTCAAGTACCACATTAGTCCCTACAAATCTCCTTCCAGTGGATGAGGCAGGAGCCATGACACCAATGCCAACACCGGATGTTTCAGCGCAAGATCAAGTACATCCTGAGGCTGACATGGTGCAACCAGCTCCCACTGAAGAACTACCAGCAGATGCTGCAGCGCCGCCAGATTGTCCATGCGACGCCCCATCCAATGTAGAAGTCGAAGCACAGGTTGAGGCAAATGCTGATGGTCAGGGTTCAGATGCTCACGCTCAAGCCAAATCAATTCCTGTGACCCCACCTTTTGGAGGACAAGTGGAACCGGAACCTGAGGCTGCTGGGAGTGCCACTATTCCTGGGGCAAGGGGAGTGGAAGATTCAACCGAATCTTTCGAGGATTCACAGGAACAAAGAGTCTATTCCGCTCTGGTTGCAATAGTGGATGGCAAAGTCAAGGAGGAGACTCCCAACGCAGAGCCAACTCAGAGCAAGGACATGGATGTCAAGACCAGCAACAAGGACGCTCCTGCGCAAGAGGACAACGCTGACGCTCCTGACATGGATCCTCAGATGGATGTCAAGGACGAGGCTGAGACAAACAGCGACAAGGACGCTCCTGCGCAAGAGGACAACGCTGACATGGATGTGGAGGCTGACATGGATGGCATTGAACCTCCTGCAAAGCATTCATCCTTCCTCCACTCCCATGCGAAGGCTCAGTTTGTGTCTGCTGTTCTTGAGTAGTACTAAGTACTGAGACTTGACTGGACTAAGACTGAGACTCAGACTCAAGACTATGGACATGACAAGGCTACAGTCTGTAGAAAAAAGAACTGTACTGTATACCGTACAACCGTTAAGTTATACTGTATACTGTATACCATATACTGTATACCATTATAGCGTACTCACCAACAATGGACTGTGAGACGCAGCTGGGCAAGCTTATTGCTGCGATTGGAAAGGACTCCGTGTCAATGGTGGTGGAAGCTCTACCCAAAACGATCTTGGCCATGACAGCCTGCACTGGGAGTGGTATGCTGGAAATTGTACTTGAGGTAGTAGTCAAAGAATTGAACCAACAGTTCGGCTGCGAGCTTGAGGTCAGGGTCGGGAACACATTTAGGGTCTTTTGAATTGTGTTGAGTTGAGTCAAGTTTCTCTGTTTGTTTTGTCTCGCTGTCTTCTCAGTCGTCTACTTCTCTTGTGATGAAAGGTGGAACGATCTTTCATGTGCGAGATTGTTCAGAACAAGCAGAAGTTTGTCATGAAGCACGTGATCCCTCCAGAGGAGAAAACCAAACCAATTGGCAATTGGGGTAGCACAGTCCTGCTGTTGGCAGGAACGAGATGTTGCTTGCTTTTTCGACGACATCACCAAGATTGATGACCCTAAAAATCGTTCCTGCCTCACTCATCGAACCAGTTGTGTGGCCCTCTTAGTCGGCTGTGGAGCTTAGAGCACAAGTGGAAACCGGAGCTTCCAGATTGCACAGCCAACAACACCGTGTTTGGCTTGTTTGTCGCAGGTTTTTCCTGTAAGTTCGGCCCTGAGACTGAGTTTGCATTGTCAGTACTCAGTGACTCAGCAAGTAAGCAAACCATCAGTCATTTTGTTCCAAGGTCATTTTCCAAAATGAATTGTGACTTTTCGATGCTCAAAACTGCTATGGAGGATGATACTGATACTTCTTTGGGCTATGAGCAGTGGAATCGGAACAATTGTGAAATATTGATAAATATTGTGAACCATGATTCCATGATCACAAAACTGCAAACGCGAACAAAAACTGTGGACACTGAGGAATGTAGCTCCACTGCCACATTCAAAGGAGTTATTTCCATATTGCGGACAGCACAGCCTCATGCACTGATTCTTGAGAATGTGGACAGCATTGATGCAGCCACATCGCGGGGAGATGACCAAGATTCCGTGTAACTTAACTTAACTAGGTGTTTGCGCCTACGCAGTTCAGGTGATTGTGAATGTCTGAATTATCAGTGCAAGGTGAATCATATAGTTCCCGCACTTCAATTTCAACTTAGGCAGCACAAATCGAATCTGACCATGGTGTTGGAGTATTTGAAAGAGCTGGGCTACAGTTGCTGTGCCAGGAAGCTTAAGTCGTCAGACTATGGGCTTCCACAGCGGCGTAGCAGATACTATATCTTTGGTTTCCGGAGTTCTGTGGATTTTGCTCAAAGTGCATCGGCTCTAGCAGAGCTGATTCCATCTCGTTTGCAGACTATGGCAAGCTCAGAATGCAGTCCAGTTGCCGAAGTCCCAGATTTTTTTTTTTTTTTAAAACCAAGTCCATCTAATTCCGTCTACAAATTGGTTTCGTTTGCAATGTTTGCAACGTGCAAGTGCGGGGAAGCTTTTGTTGCTTTGTTGATTTTCTTTCCACGTCAAGCTTCATTCATGAGTCAAGGCCGACTTCCTCCTGCCTGACACGCACCCAGCT